CGACCTCTCCGCCGGGTCAAAACGGGCAATGCATTCGTTGCATCATCACGACGTAACGAGGCCATCTCGCCCCCGGCAGGTCGTTTCGTGCTCATCGAGGTCAGACGGAAGTAAGAAACGGACCGAGCCTACGAAGGAGGTTAAATCTCTTATCTGCCAGACAAAGCAAGGCGGTTTCCTCTTCTCTTATTTTTCCTTATCCTCCTTTTTTTCTTCTTCTTCTTCTTTGCCCGCCCGCAATCTATTCACGTTTCTGGATGCCACACAGTGCTCACTTCCTAACACACAATCCCACGCAACCCGTATCGCGACCGAGCCCCAACAAACGATTTCACAAAATCGGGTAACGAGAATCATCTCCGACTTCGCCTTCTCAAGTTAAACGATTTTTCCGATCTTTCCCCGCGAAACGGGGAAAGAAGAAGGATCGAAATTCGTGTAAAAATTCGAAGCACCGCGCCGCGAAAGACTCTTCTCACCTCGCCCGACTTTTACGAAATTTGGAAAACTGAAGAAAAACTGATTGGACGTGAGGGAAATTTAATGTGTAATCGATATACACGAATATCGCTGAATTTTGATGTTTCATAACGCACGCGCGTCGTGGAACCCGTTGTTTTGAATGGCGGTGCGTTCGATCGGCAGCGTATAACGCGGTTATACGCGCCCCGTGCATGTGTTTTCGTTTGTCAATTCCCCGTGCATAAACGTCGGCGGGCGTAAAAAGCTCGGGGAAAACACCCCCGGGAGAGAAAGCAATCGCGCGATAACTGTTGATTCTGCTTTACACGAGTCAATATACGCGTTAAGCGCGCAAACACGGACGTTACGGGGAAAAAAATTGGAGGAGCGGAGGGCCACGCGGGATTGGACAGGAGACGGTGATTTGGGGCGCAGATTAACGAATCATCGCGTGTCATTGATATCGAAATACGATTCCCACCTACGCGCGATTCCAACGCGATGCGAGTGAATTTTGCATCGGATCGTGATATAAAAGCTAACGAAGTGTCATGCAACCGTGATTACACACCGGCAACAAACTTTTTCCATGAATTTTTCAAACATATATATATATATATTTATACATATATATATACGCACAGTCGATGATTCTTTTCAATTGACCAATCAACCGTTCGATCGATTCGAGAGCGAATGAATATATCGTCGTGTGCCAATGAACAAGGAAATAGAAACGAACAGGGACACGGATGGCAATCGAAGAACGAAGGATTGAACGAGCAAGTTTAGCGTCTATGTAAAGTAAGCTGTTGCCCGAGCGAGTTTTCGAAGAGAGAAGATGAGAGTCTCCTCGGGAGAAAGGAAGGAAAAAGAGGGAAGAAGAAAGAGGAGGATGGAAAAGGAATTGTGAAACGAAGACGGGGGGAGAAGGGAGTGGAAGTAAGGTACGATTAAACAGAGAGGACACCACCCACCGATAGCTCCCCGGATAACTTCCTTCAGCGAGTGATTAAATTTTAATCCACTTCTAATTAGATTTTTTGCCAGGCTAAACGTAAGGACAAACGGTTTTCTCTGAACGAGAGACGAGGTTGGAAACTGGCCGCTGCGAGAGAGAGAGAGAGAAAGAGATCCCGATCCACCGTCTATTCGTCCCCGTTAAAAGGATTTTATTTTAATCGAAACTTTTTAACGAGTAATATCGGTTGTCCGATATTTTAATGTCATTAACGCTAATTCCCCACCTCGAGTGATAACCAACGGATTACCAAACATTTAGCCGTGCTGCGAATGAAAGAAACGTTTCCCCCCTTCCTCCCTCCGTTCGACGTTTTCAGGGGCCGATTCTCCGGCCCCTTTGATCGTTAATACGCCAACTTCCTGTTTTCAATGGGACAAAGCGGAATCGTTCCACGGGAAGCGAGGGAATCGATGAGAGGGAAATCTATTTTAAACGGAGTTTCCCTCCATCCCTCTCCTCCCCTCCCGCCCATTCTGGCAAACTGTCGAAACATTAAATTCTTTCCTCCGAAATTGCCAAAATAACCTCTACAGAAATTAGAACCCATTTCCCCCATCCCGATCGATCCGTTGATACAAGTAGATAGAAGCGTGCACGACGGTAGAAATCTCGGAGCATCTCGTAGTCGAGAGAGACGACTAATAAAAGAGACGGAACGTGGATGGAACGCGTCCATTTTCTGGATCAGCCTCAGGCGACGGAGCACGATAGAGCAACGGTTTGGGCTCGCACAGGCTCGGGGGTCTGACGTGGACGAATCGATGGGCAAACAAACGACGGATTTGGCCGGTTTCCTTTGCCGGGTTGGGTAGACCCGGGGCACAGCCCGAACCCATCTCTATGCCTGCGCCCGTCCACCACCACCTCCTCCTCCTCCTCCTCCTCCTCTTGTGTCCATTCTACTTTGCATGCGCACATTCTGCCAAGCCCCGTGGACCCCGTCGTACGTTGGTTCCGCCGTTAGTTTCCACCGAGCATCGATGATTCGAGCGTGGAGGCAACGGACCAAGCCGGAGCCCCTGGTCAGCATTTACCGCAAAGTCAGTTCTATTCTAACAGGATCGACCCAGCCAATCCGACCGAGCCAGTCAACCCAACCCGGCTATTTCAACTAACCCCGTACACCGCCAAGAACCTCCTAATACCGTGTACCCCAAACTCCTTCCAACCCTTTCCAACCCGCCATTCTCTTAATTGAATTAGCCAGCCGGAATTAGCAATTTCGGATTAGCCTCGCGGTCTCTTCAACCTTTCACGCCGGAATCTCGACTATAGCCCGCTAATAACTCTCGACCGGTGTTAAAGATAGATATCGGCCTTTGCTCCATACGAGGATCCATTCTCTATCGAACGATTTCGAAAAATCGAAGGGGATAGAAGGAAGGGAATAAAAGAGGATCTCGACTAAAAGAGGTCTCCCATGATTCAGATTAATAATAAATGCCGGGGGCAGGCAATCTGTTTGAAAGTATCCTTTCGTTCGATGCATTCGTCTTAGGCTTCGTCTTATCTAGGCACGCTCGAGATTCTCGACTATAAAGTTTACGATTCGGTTAAGTGAACGGAGAGGGGATAAGAAATAAGGGAATAAAAGTTTATTCTTCGACTTCCTCTCGGCGGATCGAGTGTCATTTTATTGCTCCGCGTGGATAGATCGGGGACGCTTAAAGGCCAATATTGATTTTTCAAATATCACCGACGTGTCTAGTTTCGTCGTTTCGTTTTCATTTCGCGTCGATCATTTTCTCGATTAAAGTTATTCGCGAGAAGCAACGAAACGAAACAAATCGCGAGCGATTTTAATCAACGATCGGTTGGCGAACGAATTGGAGACGTAATTTGGATATTGAATGCGTGGCATAAACCGCGAAGGATCGATCTGTCTTAACCTTTCCATCATCCGAATGATCGATGCCGGTATTTTCTACGTCATTTTCCCTCCTCCTCCCCGACACACCATCGAGATTTATGCATCGAACTAGCCTCGACCTGCACACACGCATCTGTCAATATATGTAAATGTAACAGTCCTGAGCAAGTTTGTCGTGAATCGAACGCGACAATCCGCGTTTGTTACGTCTGGAAAACAGGTGTACCTATCCGCGTTTCCACGGAAAAAGTAATATTTCGATAAAGCGGGTTGAAAAGGAGGGGAAAGGAGGGAGAAAATGGAAAAGTAAAATACGATTCTGAACAATCTCTCGATCCCGACGCCATAATGTCGCGTAAACGCGCTCGATGGAAATAAGATCTAACGCGATGCACGGAGCAAGGTTTACACAACGGTTTCCCTTGAAATCGAGAGAGGATCGTTCGCGTATCGTTCGCGCACATCTGTAGTCAGTAAACTCGACTCGGAACTGAATGAATTTCGCACGTTAGACATTGAAATTTGCACTCGTCGTCCCGAGGAAATCAACGCTTTATCGCTTCGTATTCTTTCGTTCGATTTTTCCTCTCCTCGCCCTCGAAGACGACGATATTAACCGTCTTCGATCTACTTTCCTTTGAAAGAAAAAAAAAAAAAATATTGGAAGAAGATTTATCGAGTTCGTTCCAAGCATCGAGAAATTGTTGCGTCGAATTGCGTTGCAAATATTTATATCCAGAAAAATTGATCGTGAAAATTCTCGTAAATCTATATTGGCGCACGCAAAGAAGAAACTATGCGCGTAATTTATTCGCGATCGAATCGTGATCATCGAATGCTTCGAAGGAGCAGAAATGCGAGATGCAGCTTTCGCCAATCTTCCTTCGTGCAACGAGCGATGTATATGTATATATATATATATATGCCTCGAGTAGTACTCGTTCCTCGGCTTTCGATGCTACCGTGCAAGTACTCGTTATCTGATATTATTACCAACTAATACCTGAGGTTCGACTGCACAGAGGATACTTAGTAACTCTAGATCCGGCAAATCGGATCTGGCCTGACCCACCCTATGTTCTTCACTTCCGCGCGCTGCACCCGCTACCATTTATCTTCGCCTCAATCTTTCTCACGACTGAAATCCCCGTTCGACGTGGATCGCATGCAGCCCGTCCGTTCGCTGCTGCCTCGATCGAATCGAAATACGCGGCTTAAAATCGCATCGCATCGCCATTGTTGCCAATTGTTCACCGAGAATTCACTTGGACCTTTATCTCTAATATTCCGTTCCAAACATTGTAAGCGAACGGACTTTGATGATAATACACAAGGAAATATGCATGCTCGAGAATCGATCTGCAACTTCTGCTCCAATTCGCTGCTGGAATCTTTGAACGAGAACTTTTGCAGAGAAGTAAAAAAAAAAAAAAATAATAGGAAGAAATGTAGCCAATCTAATCTTAACGTCTGATCGTTTCTGCCCACCGTTTTTCTGCTTTATACCCTAAATTTTTTTTACGCTTACGACCCGATATAAATACGATTTTTTTAAATAACAAAATTGGCAACAGCATTTACACGTCGAACGTTGGTGTTACTGGACATAGCAGTTTAGAAAACGAATACCGAATGAATTTACACGGGAGACGCGGTTATTCTCAGCTTGCAGGTGTATCGAAAGCGAGAAGACTGTGTTTTTTCTTTCTCCCTTTCTTCCCCCTCCCTCCCCCCTCCCTGCCAAGCATCGCGATCGCCTCATCTAATCGCCGGATCTTATAATACGCGACTATTTACAAGATACGGTAGAATGCATCTTACGTTACCAGCGCACGTAGAGGCGCGTTATTCACGAAAATGGTAAATATTTCAAATAAAACCTGACTACCTGCCGGACATATATCTTCCGCCTCCATCTCTGTCAGCCTCGTCGTGCAAGGTATATCATATTCACGCGTGCATGCATCATGGTTAGTGCGTGGTGGTTGTTGGGACATCTCGACGTGGTGGTGTATCTTCGAACCGTTTCACGATTATATTAAGATTAAAGGAAAATTGAAATAATCGAATAGATTACGTGAGGGATCTTTGAGAGGTGTTCGAGTTAAAATTCTGGACTCGCGTATTCGCGTAGCATTTATCGCTGTTTCAACCAGTTTCTGAAACTACTCTCGCGGTATAATTTAATGGCGTGAGAAGAACGCTTCGTTAATCGTAACGCGGTGTTGATGATCAACCAGTTAATTCGCGATTAAGATTATTACATTACGCGAGTCGCGCTCGTTTTTTCTTTTTATTCTACGAAGTGGAACGCAACTCTTCACTCAGCAGTAAAAAAAATAATCGAAACGAAAACTCGCGTACCGTTTCCAGCAGAAGTGTAAAATGTAAAAATATCACGCAAGGATAAGGATGTGCGAGAAAATCCAAGAAAATAAAGCAACAGCAAATGAAACCGAGCCAAGTGATTTATCGCTACACCCCCCCGCAAGGTTTTTAAAAATTTCTACTCACTGCTTGCCTTTTTATTTCTACGTTACACACATTTAGCGAGCAAAACTCGATACCACTTAATAAATAAAACTTCTCTGATTATTTTGAAACGATCAAAGGAATGGAGTTGCTCGATGCGAGAGTAAGATCGTTAATGAACGGATCCAGCCACGAGGTATCGTGAAAAAATCGAAGATCGATCGGGCGCGGGGCCAATAACACGAAGGTTCGTGGACGATTTCGATCCTTGCATGGAAATGGGCGGAAGAGACGGTCGCGCACGGAAGGCAGGGAGGGCAGGTCGCGGCCACGTTTATCGTCCACTGGCGGCCACCGGCGCGCGCTTTTTCCTTTTTTTTTCTTTTTTTTTTTTTGTCGCTCATCGTCAGCCAGTCGCGACGCTTCCCTCCATATCCTCCAAAACCCGCGCTATTAAATCATATCAGGTTCAGCCGGCAATTATTTAGGTATTAGCACTCTTTCCCCCTTCGTCGCTCGACTAGCTGTGCGATAGCTCTTTTCTTTTCTTTTTTTTTTTACTCGCGTTTAACGCCGGTAGAGTAACGCGTTGCCCCGCATTAGACGAGATTTCCCCCAGTCGCTTTGATAATTCGCATCTGGCTTTATCTGCGCGACGAGTAATTTCGCGGAATCGATCTCGCTCTTTTTTTTATTTATCTTCTTTTTTTCTTCGCGGGATCAGTGGCGATTACCTGAACCGGTTTCAGATGCGAAAAGTAATACGAGCGAATTTTGCCTTGCTATTGCGGATATACTATGAATTCAACTATTATCTCACGATGAAATAATCGTTATACGTGTCCATCGGACTCCTTCAGAAGTTGATCAACTTATCGAGATCTAAATGTCGTGGAAAAATTTATTGCGATTCGAGCTTGCTCGGTTCTTCTGAAAATCGATCAAAACGAGTCAACAACGAGTATGGAATTTCGATTCTCTCGCTCGATGGATCGAGGACAGTTTCCTTAAAAGAGGCGCGCTGAGGTAGCAGATAGAGCGGAGCCAAGTTAAAGGCTAGGTCGCGAACGGTCGCGTGACTCGACGGCTTAAGTCTCCGTAGGCGGTCGTGCATCACTGCGAGAGAGTATACGAGGAGAGTCGTCTGGTTTCTCGCGAGGAGAAGGAGCGCGTGCGCGTTAATGAGAG